AAGAACCCAAGAGATAAACTGCAAATCACTACTCTGGCCCGCCAAATGTACCCCGGTAAATCACAATTTTTTCTAGACGCTTTTGAAGATGCCACACGCAAATCTTATGGTTATCTACTTGTAGATTTAAGATCTGCAACCCTCGAAGAGTACCGCTTAAGAACCGGTCTCTTCCCACCCGACCTTCCCTCTGCATATATTTATAACAAACAGCCCTCTAAAAGTCGATAACATACCATTAACAGGTCATTCCCTGCCGAATCTCAGATCCTTAAGGATGTCTATGCGTATACGTCGCAATTGGTTGGCTTTACAAAGTCTAATAAGTGCATCGCCATCACAAAAAAAAGATATTTTATGCTCCGCCTCTCATGATTTAGTCACGGCTATATGTGAAATAGCTCTTAATACCCTTAAAGGTAAGATACCTTTATCACAACAACAAGTAGAAAAGCTAAAAAAGTGGCGAAAAAATATAAAAGCACTGAGCAACAAAAAAGTGTCTTTTAGTAAGAAGAAACAGTTGGTTAAACAGTCTGGAGGATTTATTGGCTCTCTGTTGGGATTTGCTATACCTCTGCTGACCGGTCTTTTGACTAACCGTTAATGGCACACGCTGAGAAAAAGTACTTAGTGTCTAAACAAGAGTTAGACCTAATACAGCGAACCACTCAGAGCTCTGAGACCGCTCGTGAGTCTGTCACTCAAAACCTAGATAATGAGATTATTTCTATTCTTCAAAATAGAGGTGTATCGGATGATGAGAAGATAAAGAGGTATACCACTATATTGCAGAAATACTTGGTACGTACTAAACAGAGTGAAAGCGAAAAGTTGGGCTTGACACTTTTCTTACCTCCTGGAGAATCCTCTGTACCAAACCCCCCTGTAGCACATCCTCATAATGCTGGAGTCTCTGATGTTTCAGACGCTGTATTTCGTGAAGTTGTTAATAATGTAAATGTCCGCTATAAAAAAAATGCTGAATTGTTGTTGAGTAGAATGTCTCAATTTAAGCACATTACCGCTTGGAATGATAAGGGTGAATTTGTTTATAAAAACACTGTTGTACCGGGATCAAATATACTCGATTTGGTACGTAGTGTTACCCAGAGTCACAATGTTACGGTACGTAAATTACCTCTGGGCTGGGATACTTTTCTTCAGGCTATGGCTGACCTGAACATACCGTCTACCGTTGTGGGCAACACATCAAATAGAGACTATTTGGAACAATTGAAATTGCGGATCCTTCCAAGCGAGACTCGGGACATAACACCCCATTTTCAAAAGAGACAATCGTTACCAAATATTTCTTTTAGCACCCCGGGATTAACTACATCTCACGGCTATTTGCTACCTAAGAAGCGCCCCCGTATACTAAAGCAGCCTGCTGATTGGTTGAATTTGTGATGTTTATTCATTGCATTTCTGTCTAAAACATGTGATGATTATTGCTTTTCCTTCATACATTGTATTACCCCTTTTGCCTGTGACTATTGTATTATTGCTTTTCCTGCGAAGTGTATCGGCTTTTTTTTTTGTCTAATAAATATCGTTATATGAGTTACTTTGAAATTTATTTATTTCTCAGATGTATATAAACTTGCCCTCTGGGTTTGTTCTCTACTTTCAAAACTGGCCCCAGACACATCTTCCAAAACATGTCCAGACTTGTCCTCTTTATTCAGTAATATGAAATGAAATTAAAAATAAATAAACATCCAACCATAGGATGTAGTACCTCATACAACCACATGGTGGCAGACTCTATGAACATTGTAAAGGGGCGTGTCTATTACATGCCGTATTGGGTGTGATTTCATTAAAAAAAAGGGGCGGGCACCCATCAACGCGCAATGTGTGGGGCCCTATTGCGCAAGGGGCGTGGTTTCATGAAAGGGCTGGGCAACCATCACCACACAGGGGGCGGAGACCTATTGCGCAACAGGCGTGGTTTCATAAAAAGGGCGGGGCGTCTGGCATATTGCGCAAGGGGCGTGGTTTCATAAAAAGGGGTGTGGTTTCCTAAAATGGGCGTGGTTTCATAAAAAGGGGGGCGGGGCACCTGTCAAAAGTTAGTTTGATGACTTGTACCGTTTTACACTACTTAAGTGTATTTTTATATAAATATATATAATAATGTAAAAATACACTTATAATTAAATTACACATGTATATATATAATAGCTATATATATAGTATATATATTATTATAAAATTAAAATAAGTAAATTAAAATAAATTCAAAAAGGAAAAATAATAAAAAAAGTTTTTTTAAATTATATATATATATATATATATATATATGAAATTTTACTCTAACTGTATTTTGATATTAATATATATATATATATTCATATAAAAATACACTTAGAATAAAATTATATATACAGCTATGTATATATAAATAAATCAAAATAATACGATATATATATATATATATCCATATACAAAATTACATAAATAATTTTATAAATATACACGTAGACTTCAAATATATAAATATGCATAAATATTTAAATTCTACATGCGTATTTATATTTTTACATAATTAAGTAATTTTATTGATTGCAATTTAAAGGAACTGCCTGACAACCCAGGCCAAAAGTCCAGAGAATTTAATTTGCTAGCACTGTATTTAACCCTGTAAATTTATGTGACACCCTAAAACCTGTAAATGGGGGGTATTGTTTTACTCAGGAGACTTTGCTGAACACAAATATTAGTGTTTCAAAACAGTAAAACATATCACGAGCGATGATATTGTCATTGAAAGTGACTTTTTTGCATTTTTCACACACAAACTGCACTTTCACTGATGATATAATTTTTGTGATACGTTTTACTGTTTTGAAACACTAGTATTTGTGTTCAGCAAAGTCTCCTGAGTATAACAGTACCCCCCCATGTACAGGTATTATAGTGTTTTTGAAAGTTACAGGGTCAAATATAAGGGTCAAATATTTTTACATTGAAAATTGCCAGGTAGGTTATGTTGCCTTTGAGAGCGTATGGTAACCCAGGAATGGGAATTACCCCCATGATGGCATACCATTTGCAAAAGAAGACAACCCAAGGTATTGCAAATGGGGTATGGTCAGTCTTTTTTAGTAGCCACTTAGTCAAAAACATTGGCCAAAGTTAGCGTTCATAATTGTTTTTTGCATTTTTAACACACAAACAAATATAAATGCTAACTTTGGCCAGTGTTTGTGACTAAGTGGCTACTAAAAAGACTGGACATACTCCATATTGAATATCCTGGGTTGTCTACTTTAAAAAAATATGTACATGTGGGGTGTTATTCAGAGATTTATGACAGATAACAGTGTTACAATGTCACTATTGATACATTTTAAAAATATATATTTTGAAACAGCAATTTCCTATTTGTACTTATAGCCCTATAACTTGAAAAAAAAAGCAAAAAAGCACAGAAACACTGGATGTTTTTAAACTCAGGACAAACTTCTGAATCTATTTAGCAGTTTTTTTTATTAGCTGTCATAGGTAAGTAAATTATTTTTCAAGCAAAAGTCAAAAAACATGTTTTTTTTTACCCATTTTTTCACCATATATATATTTTTAAGTAAATTATATGACATGATACAAATTATGGTATGAAAAGAAAGTCCTTTTTGTCCTGAAAAAAATAACATTTAACTTGTATGGGAACAGTAAATGAGAGAAAGGAAAATTACAGCTAAACACAAACACTACAAAAATTTTAAAATGGCCCTGGTCCTTAACCCCTTAAGGACCGGACTGTTTTTGCGATGTTGTACATTTGCGACCAGGCATATTTTTACACTTTTGTAGTGTTTGTGTTTAGCTGTACTTTTCCGCGCTCTTATTTACTTTTCCCATACAAATTATATATTGGTTTTTTTCAGGACAAAAGGGGCTTTCTTTACATACCATTATTTATATAATCTCATGTAATTTAATTGAAAAAAATACATGTTTTTTTACTTTTACTTGAAAAATCTTTTACTCATCTACAAAAGCAAATGAAAAAAAACTGCTAAATAGATTCAAAATTTTGTCCTGAGTTTAAAAATACCCAGTGTTTACGTGCTTTTTTGCTTTTTTTTGCATGTTATAGGGCTATAGGTACAAGTAGGATATTGCGGTTTCAAAACAAACATTTTTAAAATTTATCAATAGTGACATTGTAACACTATTATCTGTCATAAATCTCTGAATAACACCCCACATGTACATATTTTTTTTAAAGTAGACAACCCAGGGTATTCAATATGGGGTATGTCCAGTCTTTTTTAGTAGCCACTTAGTCGAAAACACTGGCCAAAGTAAGCATTCATATTTGTTTGTGTGTGAAAAAAGTAAAAAAACTAAATTGAACGCTAATTTTGGCCAGTGTTTGTGACCAAGTGGTTACTAAAAAAGACTGGACATACTCCATTTGCAATACCTTGGGTTGTCTTCTTTTGCAAATGGTATGCCATCATGGGGGTAATTCTCATTCCTGGGCTACCATACGCAGGGCCGGCCTTAGGGGTGTGCGAGCTGTGCGGCCGCACAGGGCGCCATGGAGCAGGGGGCGCCATGTGGTCGACACAGCTCACACATGGCTGGCTGCCTGCATGGAGGATTTCATTATACTCCGCCCGGGATAAAAAAAAATTGAGGCTGGGTGGGGCTTAGTGTGCGGTGGGGGCGGGGCTAGAAGTACCGGGTAATTGCTTCATGGGAAGCAGGAAGGAGTCCCTGCTTCCCCAACACACAGTTTCCAGGTGCTGCACTCCTCCATAACAAATAGAGGTAACTATGTATGATTGCCTGCCTGTCTGTGTGTGTGTGTGACTGTCTGCTTGTGTGTGACTGTCTGCCTGTGTCTGTGTGTGTGTGACTGTCTGTGTGCGTGTGTGTGACTGTCTGCCTGTGTGTGTTTGTGTGTGTGTGATTGACTGTCTGCCTCTGTGTGTGTGTGTGACTGTCTTCCTCTGTGTGTGTGTGTGTGTGTGTGTATGACTGTCTGCCTGTGTGCATGGCTCTCAGCCTGTGTGTGTGTGGCAGTCTGCCTGTGTGTGTGTGTGGCTGTCTGTGGCTTTCTGCCTGTGTGTGTGACTGTCTGCATGTAACGGTGTATGTGTGACACTGTATATGTGGCTGTATGTACATGACTGTCCATTTGTACCTGTGTGTGTTTGTAATTGTCTGCCTGTAACTGTGTGTGTATATGTGTGTGTAATGAATATTTATTTTTAAATCATTAATTTAATAAATTCCCTATACAATCACTACACTTCTATGCACACACTATACATGGATAACAGGGGAGGCGGCACTACGAAGATGTTTCGCACAGGGTGCCTAAAGGCCTAAGGCCGGCCCTGACCATACGCTCTCAAAAGCAACGTAACCAACCTGGCCATTTTCAATGTAAAAATATTTGACCCATATATTTGACCCTGTAACTTTCAAAAATGCTATAAAATCTGTACACGGGGGGGTACTGTTTTACTCGGGAGACTTCGCTATACACAAATATTAGTGTTTTAAAACTGGAAAACGTATCACAACAATTATATCATCAGTAAAAGTGCTGTTTGTGCTGTGATATGTTTTACTGTTTTGAATCACTAATATTTGTGTTTAGCGAAGTCTCCCGAGTAAAACAGTGCCCCCCATGTACAGGTTTTAGGGTGTCGTAGAACGTTACAGGGTAAAATACAGTGCTAGCAAATTAAATTCTCTGGCCTTTCGGCCTTGGTTGGCAGGCAGGTCCCTCAAATTGCAATCAATAAAATTACTTAATTATGTGAAAATATTACATAAATACGCACATAGAATTTAAATGTATATGCATATTTATATATTTGAAGTCTACATGTATATTTATATAATTATTTATGTAATTATGTATATGGACATATGTATATTTCGTATTATTTCTATTTATTTATATGTACATAGATATATACAAATTAATTCTAAGTGTATTTTGATATAAATATATATATATTAATATCAAAATACAGTTAGAATAAAATTTCATATAGATATATAATTTTAAAAAAAAATTATTATTTTTAAATTTAATTTAAATTACTTATTATTTATATTGTATAATAATATATATATACAATATATATAGTTATTATATATATTATATATATACGTGTGTAATTTAATTATAAGTGTATTTTTATATTAATATATGTACATATTAATATAAAAATACACTTAGTATGACATTATATATATGATATATAGACATATATTATATAGATATAATATTTTTTTTTAATTAACACTAACTTTATTTTTTTTCTTCATGATTTTACACTAGCAGGGAGACTGCCTGTCAGCACAGACAGTCCCCCTTCAGGCAGACACTAGGACACCTAGTTGAGCGATCACATGGCCCCAGGTGTCCTAATCCAGTGTGGGGATACTGTCTGGGCTGCAGGCAGTCTCCCCACAACGTGAGCAACACCGATCACCGCCGGGGGAACGACGCTGATCAGGTAAGTAACTAAGACCGTTAGGATGGTTCAGGACCGTCAGCGGTCGGCAATGGGACAATGACGATGATGGTCCTGAACCGTCCGCTGTCTTTAAGGGGTTAAAGTACAACATGGCCAAAACAGTCTGGTCCTGAAGAAGTTAACAATAAATGATACAATTACAAAAACTTACAGGAACAATAGGATGAAGAGGACCCTCCTTAAACGAGCTTACAGTCTATGGGGTGGGGTATAAAACACAATAGGACAGGAGATAGCAATCAAGTAAGGTGGGCGTGAAGCAAAGCTGGAGGAGAGAGTAGAGTGCTGCCCTTTAGGAGAGAGCAAGGGACAGGTATGTGAGGTAGAGGTTACTCTGGGAGGCCGTACGCTTTCCTAAAGAGATGAGTTTTGATGCCTTGGTGCGAGCAGTGGACAGGAGAAGGTCATAGGCAGAGCAGAGAGACCGAGAAAGGGCATACCTGTGGATCTGTTTAGAGATCTAAGAGGGGGCTAGAATTGTTCAATGCTTTCTAGTTATGGGATAGTACTTTGAATTTACTCCTGTAGGATACAGTAAGCCAGATATGGAGATATGTAAGGACTGTAAGAGGGGAGAGGCATAAGAAGAGCGACAGGAGAAGAAAACCAGTCTAGCTGCAGCTTTCATTATAGACTGTAGTGGGGGCAATTAGGAGAGGGTTACAATAATCCATGCGAGAAATTACTAGAGCATGGACAAGCTCCTTTAGTGGTATCTTGCAGAAGAAAGGGGGGTTTGCAGGCAATATTTTTAAGGTAGAATCGACAGAATTTGGTAACAGACTGCATGTGAGGCTCAAAGGAGAGGCCAGAAGCAAGTATAACGCCAAGACAGTGCACTTGCAAGGATTGACTGGTGTGCACAACTAACTTGAAGGGAGAGCGAAAGAGGAGAATCAGTATTAGGAGGAGGAAAGACAATGAGCTCAGTTAGATCGAGTTTCAAAAAAGCGGGAGGACATCCAGTCAGAGAAGGAAAAAAGGCAAGCAGTGACACATTGCAGGACGGCAGAGGAGAGGTGTGGGGTGGAGAGATATATCTGGGTGTCATCAGCGTACAGGTGGTAGTGGAATCCAAATGAGGTTATAAGTTTGCCAAGAGAAGCAGAAGCATGGAGGAGATATCATTAGAAAAGGAGACACTGAATGAGTGTTAGCAGAGATAGGAGGAAAACTACGAGAGGACTGTGTCACAGAGACTGAGTGATTAAAGAGTTTGAAGAAGGAGAACATGATCAACAGTATCAAAGGCAGCACAGAGGTCAAGAAGAATTAGTATGGAGTAGTGACCTTTGGATTTAGATGCGATTAGTTCATTAGTAACTTTGATAAGAGCAGTCTCAGTAGAGTGCAGGGGGCAGAAGCCAGACTGAAGAGGGTCAAGGAGAGAGTTGGAATTGAGAAAGTGAGCCAGAAATATGTAAAATATAGAAAAGTATATATGTAAAGTGTTATGTGCCTCATAAATATAATAATATAAAAGAACCATGAATCAAAAATACATAACCCCTTAGTGTCATCCAATATAAATGTATAAAGTGAAAAGAAGGACCAGCATCAATGAAAAGTTCCAGTCTTCCTAAGAAAAGAACAAAAAATAAAATTAAGGTAAATTAACGCCAGAGAAAATACTATTCAAATAAACCGGGACAAATCACAATCCAGATTTAGGGAATCAAGTCCCCTAATCCAAAAGGCCTTTCTTAATCCAAGTCTCTTTAATCTATCACTGCCCCATTGTAACAGAGTGTTGGGGATGGTGGTCAGGGGTGTATATCTGGCACCCAGACTTTTGCACAGCCACTATCCTGACATGTGGGTAAGCACATGCAGCCCCAGGGAAAGTGAAGTTTAAATGTAGGTTTTTTTCCTCTGTTGTTATTTGGGTCCCTGGGGTGGAGTATTCGGAAGAGCAGGGTGGGCCGATTCTCCACCCACTGTCAGAGTGGTTGTGCATGAGTCCAGCCCAGGTTTTCCATAGAGTTCTGGCTCACTGCCTAACGAGGTCATGTACAGTGCTACAGAATTTGTTGGCGCTATATAAATAATATAATAATAATAATAATTAGCCTCACCTGTAGGGGCTGTGAGCAGCTATATAACTGCAGTTAAAGCAGGGTGAAGGGAGGGAAGTGTTTTGGAGGAGAAAGAAGATTTGCTGTTCATTGTATCCTGTTACTTCACAACAACAGAAAATAAACAGGCCAGAGGCCTTTTGAAACTGGACTTTGTCTTGACCTGGTTTTCTTACCCTAGAGGGCTGTGCGGTTGCCAAAAGATCCTGGACAAACACACACAGGAAAGTAAGTTTGTCACATATGGTGGAGAATGTGGGCACTGCACTAAAGAAGCCTGTGGGTATTAACTGAAAGCCAAACAAGCCTGGAGAAATATGGAGTAAATTGTGAAAGTTTTGTTGCAAACTACAGCGGCGCAGCAAAAGGCTACAGCCGTACAGCAGGAGGCCACAGCCGCACAACAGGAAAATATTACGGCCCTACAGCAACTGGTAATTACGCAAAAGGCCAACACAGATGCTATGATCCAGCAGGTTATGGCAGCCCAAGTTTAGGCAAACCGCCTGCTCAGAGAGGAGCAACATCAGGCCACCAGTATGATACAGAAGGAGATACAGGCTTTGGCCAAGGGACTGACCAGAGTCTCGGATGGGACGCAGTCCGAGGTTAAAATGATCAGAGCCAGCCGTTACCTGCAGAAGATGACACCTACAGATGATGTGGAAGCATACCTGCTAGCTTTTGAGAGGACAGCTGAGAGAGAAGAGTGGCCGGTGAGTGAGTGGGCAAGCATACTGGCGCCTTTTCTTATTGGAGAACCCCAGAAGGCTTTCTATGACCTGGAACCAGCACAGGCAGGGGTCTACTCCAAATTGAAGGCTGAGATCCTTGCACGACTTGGTGTGACTATGGCAGTTCGTGCCCAAAGATTTCATGCCTGGACTTTCAACCAAGAGAAGCCTATCCACTCCCAGATGTTTGACCTGATACATCTGGCTAGAAAGTGGTTACAACCAGAAATAAATACGGCAAGCCATATCATGGAACTTCTTGTGATGGACAGATTCCTGCGGGGCTTGCCTGCTTCACTGCGTCGATGGGTCAGTCAGAGTGATACACAAACAGCTGATGAGTTAATTGGTTTGGTGGAAAGATATGTGGCTGCAGATGACAGACAGTGGCTCAATAACACAAAGGCTAAGCAGAGAGTTAAGACTCCAGCTCCTGAAAGACCTGGTAAGATTTTTCGAGGTTTCAGAGACACAGAGGAACAAGAGACATATTCTCAGGGACCCCATACGCCTATGCCTAGAAATGTTAATCCTGGAAAAGGGTCTAGGTGGGGGACAGTTGATAATATGAAATGTTTCCGGTGTAATGAACCTGGACATAAAGCTAGAGACTGTCCCTTGATTGATGAACCGATGCAATGCAATATTAGTCAGGATGTACAATTGTCTTGTTTGCTGAATTGTATGGAATCTGCTGTTGCCAACTGTAGTCACAATCCACAGATATGTTCCATAAGGGTGAATGGGAAAGAGGTTAGAGCTCTATTAGACTCCGGAAGTATGGCGACATTGATAACAAAATGCCTTGTACCTGAAGCCGATGTTGATGCATTTCAGAAAATTGGTATAATTTGTGTTCATGGTGACAAACGTGAA